GGCATGCATTGCTTACTCCTCTATTTTCCACTTTTCTGTATCACCGTGCTGTAAATCTGTTTCTTTTTTTTTTTTTTTTGGTACATGCCCATAGCAGAACCGAACCTGGGACTCTCTGGGCCGCAGGCCGATGCTCTAACTGCTGAGCCAAACTGGCCAGGGCAAAATCTGTTTCTTATATATATTGTACATAGTTGGGTTTGTATTTAATTCAATCTGACAAACTCTTTCTTTCAATGGGATAGTTTGGTTTATTTACTTTTAAGGGTAATTAATAACACTTTAGTTCTTCCAACTACTATTTTATTATTTTACTTTGATGATATTATTTTTTGATGATATAATTTGATTTAGTATTTTACTTTACTTCTTCTGGTTTTATGAAGTTACCATTGTCCTCCCAACCCCCATTTTTTTTAGTTTTTGCATTCGATCATACTTTTCCATTATATATATATTTCTTTCCCTTTCCTTATGCTTATTATTGCACACATATTTTGCTATTATTGTTACATGTGTGTATGTGCGTGTGTGTGTGTTTGTGTGTGCATGTGTATAAAATACAACTATTTGCCCTATAGAGATGCTTGGTTCCCTAACTTCTTTCTTTTCTCCCAAGATAAAATATTTTCGAATACTTTTATTTCCCCATTCTCCACTCACACAAAACTTCTGGATGAGTTTTACCACTTTCCTCCTCACTTCCACCCCAGTTCCTAGAATTGCTTAGATAATGTGGTACTCTTTGTTTCAGGCTATAATTTGGAATTTACTTTGCAGTATGTTTCTTCCATCTCAATAATCACTTTTTTACCCTTTATTTTGTACAGTTTCAGATACTTTATTAATGTTCTAATATCCAATGGATATATATTACATAGTTCCAGGTAGGCTATCAGTATCCAGTAGATTTCCAATGGATATTGATAGACTGCTATCTGGAAATTACATATAATGTATGTGTATGTATATGATTGATTTTTTCTTTGTAATTATATGTATATTATATACTTAAAAACATTCAGAGAAGAGGCTTACAGCACACATACAAAAAGACTGAACATTTCTACTCTAGATAAGTCTAGCTGCCCCTACAACTTCAATGACCATTTCTACACTAATGACTCTCCTAATTTTTTTCTCCAATCCAGACTTCTCCTGAATTCCAGGCCCACATATTTATATACCCACACACTTAAGAATCCCAAGTGATACTTGAAAGGAACCTACAACTCATCATGTCCAAAACCATGCTCATATATTGCTCCCCAGTCTGATGAAAACTTTCTCAGAAAATGGCTCTGAGAAAGCCAGAAGCCTAGGAGTTGTATTTGAGTCTTTCATCTCTCTCACCTCCATACCTAACCCTCACCAACATCTGTTACTTCATCTTCTAAACTTAGACCTTGTCAGTCCACTTCCCTTCATAGCTTGGAGATCATTGGTGACTTGACCTATTTTAGTGGAACGGGAGGGGCAGAAATCGGATGGCTGTAGTGATAGGTGGTGGGTGGGAGGCAGCAAATATAGACAACTCCTTTGAAAACTTTGGGCAAAGAATCCTGGAAGATTTGGAAGATGGTATCTTTTCCTCTCATTCCCAGCCCCATCTTTAGCCCATCAATGTCTCAGGGTCAGACAACTGCTGGTACCATAAATAGACAGAACCTCAGACCTATTGCTGAGCCTTCACAGGGTGAACTATCATAAAAACACCCACAGGTGGTGATATGAAAGAATCTGTGTGTGCTAGGAGGTGGAAGGCTCCTTGTAATATTATAAAACTCATACAACAAAGCATGCATCTGGATAGATACAATAGCCTCTTTACAAAACTCCATCCACCCCTGTTCTCCTCCAACCTGTTCTCTATACCGCAGCCAGGAATCTTTTCAAATGTAAATCTGATCATATTTAAGCTCTTTTCTTCCCACCTTAACTCCTAAAGTGGCTTCCCACTGCTCTTAAGATAAAGGTAAAAAATCTCTTGGCAGCATACCAGGTATTAAATGATCAGGCTCCTGCCCTTCTCGTCCGTTTTTTCTCCAGACTCTGCTTTCGTGCTCTGTAGCATAGCCACTTGAGACTTCTTTTGATTCTTCAAACACATTATGGTCTCTATCACTGGACTTTGGGTATGCTATCCCCTTTGCTTGGGATGTTCTCATCCTCTTTACCTAGTTAGCTCCTAGCTCAAATGTGACTTCTTCAGGGTCTTCATTGCTCTCTAAGTCAAGTTAAGACATCCGTTGTAATACCCTGTTTTTCCCGTCAGAGTACTTGTCATAGTTTGTAGTTGTATATTTGTTGCTGTGATTATTTGATAAATGTCTGTCATCTCTAACATCAGACTGGAAGCCCTAGGAAGGCAGGAACTATGTCTTGTCATACCTTACATAGTATCCTCAACCATGACAGTATAGTGCCCACATGAAAGTTAGTTAGTAATGTGTATATGTGTACCTATGTATATGACTGATCAAGTGTCTGGATATACAAAGTAAAGCAGATCTGGACTATGGTGACTTAATAAGGAGATACCACAGTGAGTGGCTGTCAGAGCAACCCATCTACTTCCCTCAGGGACATCTCTCTGGTTGGGCTGCTGTCAACTGAAACTTATAATAGGATATACCACCTACTTGTTTGGTTTCTGAATCATGTGAATCCACCCTCATTCAGCAATGTGGACTATCAGCTTTCAGGGACAGAGAGAACATCCTTGAAATAATTACCATTTATTAATTCGACCAATATTTATTCTGTGACTACCCCTACTGCATTCAAACACTGAGCAGAGGAGAGGGAGACACAAATGAATGAGGCCTGGTTGTTATTTTTTCAAGGAATTTCTAGTTTTGAAGAACAGTCAGATTTGTGAAGAAATTATAACTTCCTGTTTTAAAACACTAATATTACAAAGCATGCTCAAACTTTTAAAGGATCACAGAGAAGAGCATGACTATCAAAACACTTAGCAAAACCCTAGCTAGAAATGCTATTTAGAATGATGACCCAAGGGACATACTTTTAAAATCTTCTAAGCTCTAACTTTGAACCAGTTTAGACTACAAGAAAGCAATTTCCTTAGACCACATTAGACAAGCCCCTTTAAAGAATAACCATCACTAGGTTGCTTTTTATGTCCTTGGCTTTTATTAAACATAAGAAATACCCATATGAATTTTACTTTTGCATTTGTTGTTCAGATCTTCTTGATTGCTTTATTACATCATTCACTGACTGGTTCCTAATAAAGTCACATGACACACTACCTTTAGAAGTTAGTGCTACGGGGGTGGGGGTGAGGGTGTCTATGGTCTGTCTTCTGATGAACTGATTCCTTTCAGATGACAAGAGTTATTGAACATGTACTGTGTTTTCATTTTTACCCTGCAGCCAGGAAGCTTGGAACAAAGTTTCAAATTGTCCTTATGGAAAGGAGATAGGATAAAACAAATTTAACATCTGATATGCACAGTCATTTTAGAATTATATCTATTTGTCAAACAAATGCAAAAAAAAAAAATTTGACCTATGTTTAGATCTTTATAAAATTTGGAGAAACTGGGGAGGACCCAGAGAAAAGCAACAAAAATGGACAAAGAATGGGATGGAGGTAGTTATGTCCATATTCTCTAACTCAAATATTGGGGCATATTGATCAGGCATATCACCTATTAGAAGAGAGTTTCTGAATTTATTTATTTGTTTATTTATTTACTTGGTACATGCCCCTAGTGGAACTGAACCTGGGACTCTCTGGTCCACAGGCCAACGCTCCAACCACTGAACCAAACCCGCCAGGGCAGAGTTTCTGAATTTAGATTGTTCTGGAAAATCCCAGAGATATGTCGATAGTTATAGAAAGGTTTTAACCTTTTTTGTTACTCCTCATGTGAGGATATTTTTTCCATTGATTTTTTTTTTTTTTTGAATTTTTTTTAGAGACAGTGCAAGGGAGGGAGGGAGGAAAAGAGAGAGACGTCCATGTGAGAGACACATAGATTGGTTCCCTTCTGATCCCGACCTGGATGGGCCTGCAACTCAGGTACAAGCCCTTGAAGGGGAACGGAACCCTAACCCTTCCAAGTGCCGGCGGATGCTCTAACCATCGAGCCCCACGGGTAAGGACAGTTTTGACCTATTTTGCATCACAGATCCCTTGGATCTGCTCTCCAGTAATATACAAGCACATATGGTTCCTGAAAGTAAATCCTCTTGTTATTTTATTTTTCCAGAATATCAAAAGCACTTTATCACCGGCCCTGCTGTAAAGAATTCAGAGTCTGAGGAAGCACCTGAGATGTCAGGTCAGCAGGGGAGATTGGTAAATCAGCTGTCAGCTGAAGTTCTTAACACTGACACCATTATTAAATGGTTTAAACCAGTTGGCTGTTTCCTGTTTGTTTTTAACTTTTTGAGTAACAGACCTCTCTGATGAGCTGATGAAGGTAGGGGTCATCTATCCTAAAACACACACACACACACACACACACACAATTTGCGCAGTTTCATGGGATTGGTGGATTTCCTGACGTTCATCCTCAGATCTCGGGTTATGTTTAAATTGATACTTTCTGGAGCCAGGGCAATGCCCTTGAGTACCTTTGAGAATCACCCTCTCCTTTTATCACCGGGACTAGTACTAGATAGGAGGTTATGGGACCCGGAGACACCGACCCCCGGCGGCCTCTCAACAAGCCGGGTGGAGTTTGCCCCTCTGCGCTCTCCCCTCCCCCGCGCCCGTGCCGCGCAGGTGCGAAAACCTAAGGGGCCACCCGGGAGCGATAGCAAGGAAAGGGGTGGGGGGGATGGGACCCTGGGAGGGACGGAGGCGGGGGCCTTCCCTAGGTTGCTTGGTGACCAAGTTCTCCGCCCAGGCCGTTCCATTTCCTTAGTAGGGGGCGCCGCGGGCTGGACTGTTGCTGAGGGACCTGCCAGAGGGGCCCTTTTCCGGCTTTCCCCCCTCGCCGGGCGGTGGCCAGGTCTGTGACGTCACAGGAGGCGGGGCCACCGCCGCTGCCGGGTGCTGGAGGCGCCATTGGAGCCGGCTTGGCTTGGGAGCTCCGCTGAAGCTGGCGGAGGTAGGGCCGCAGTCACTACCGCGTCTGCTTCTGGTCCCTAGCCTGTCAGCGGCATGGCGTGCGGGGCGACGTTGAAGCGGCCCATGGAGTTCGAGGCGGCGCTGCTGAGCCCGGGTTCCCCGAAGCGGCGGCGCTGCGCCCCTCTGCCCGGCCCCACTCCGGGCCTCAGGCCCCCGGACGCCGAGCCGCCGCCGCTTCAGATGCAGACCCCACCGCCGACTCTTCAGCAGACCGTCCCGCCTGGCAACGAACGGCGCCTTCCAACTCCGGGTAAGCTACGCTGCGGGCTTGGCAGGAAGCCAGGCCCTGGCATAGGGAGGTGGGGGTGGGGGAAGGATTATGGACGCTAGGCTAATTTATCCACTGACCCCTTCTTTGCCCTGAGAAAAGGGAACTGGGGTGCCGGGCCCGGTCGCTTCCGGGGATGGGAAACATCCGGGAGGGGTAGTAGGGCCACTGTGTCGGTTTTCGGTTTTCCTGGAGCTGCCTAGAGGGGTGGGCAGCGAGAGGAAGACGGGAATATCCCTGGCTGCTCCGGGCCCTCCCCGCCCCCCCAGCCCCTCCTGCCTCGCTGCCTGGGCCTGCACTGAGCCGCCCTGTCGATCCAGTGGGCCATGGAAAATTGGATTCTACTCACGAACCCGGCCTTGAGGGTGGGGGTTGGAGGCTGGTTCCTGGGAAGGGGCCTGAGTGTGTGCTGTTCCGCACTGTACTGTAGCTTGTAGGGAGACCTGATTTCCAGAAGTCTTGAGGGGACCAGAGGCCGCCGCAGAAGTTATGGAATCCGATTACAACCTGACTAATTCTAAGGGACTGGCCATATTTTTTATTGTATGGCTATTGTCTTGTACCATATATGGCTTGAAGCCGGGTAGGTCGTTAGCTAAAACTTGAGGATCCTTAAGCATACAGAGGTTCCGGAAGCAGGAATTAGCTATCCGTAGCAGACAGACTCGTCTTCAAGAAAGGCATTGGCCAAGGAAAGGGGAGAGTTGGTGTGACAGTCAAGTAAAAAAAAAAAATTCTAACTTTTGTGTGGGAGTTGAGGGGGAAATGCATCAGAATTAATATCTAGCAGTTTTAAAGGGTTTCCGGAAATGGGGGAAGTCTCAAAACTGGACTTTGGCTAGTCATTTCATTGTGTGTGTTTTTCTGTTTTTTCAAGCATAAGCAAAATCTTGGAATGCTATTACATTATTCTACGTTCACCCTTTTTCAGTTACTAGTGTCTTTAGACTTGATTTCGTTTGCAAATCGACCATGCAGATTTCAGGCCCTCATCCTCTCCCACCAAGCAAGTGCTGGTTCCAGCCAAGCACTCCTAAACCAGTATATCCTTACTCATGTTCACCTCTTTATGCTGGCATGCAAAGGATTTATCAGCTATAACCATATTTTACCTAGTCATTTTTTTACCAAACTATGCTTTTGCCCTTTTCCCCCAGACCCACCTGGCTGTGTCTGGATTCTTGCCTTCCATCATGATGTTTTCCCTTTCTGTTTGCTAATCCAGATACATTCATTTCCTGTCTCCCGTGCATTACCTGACTAACCCCGCCCCATGAGGAACTCTGTTGGACTTTAAATTCTCAGACCACTTAATGTTGCACAGAATGAGAATGTTTGCAAAAGTTGTTTGTAAAGAGCCCTTCAAAAGCAGAGGGTTTATAGATGCCCGCGTAAAGTAATTTTTTTTTCATCCACTGCTCCTACAGCTAGCCAAGGATAGTCACATAATCTTTCTGGATCTCTCTGCTTCAACAAAATAGAATTAATACTTGTCCTATCTGTCTTGAAGGATATTATATAAATGTTTTATTTCTTCCAATACAACTAACTCTCTAGACTAATTCTGTTGTAGTTCACATTACAGCAAATGCATAATAAATGATTGCTTAATGTATTTGGAAGCCTAAATATGGCAGAGTGCCATAATGGGGTCACTTTCTTTTTTCTTTTTTTTTTTATCCTCACCCGAGAACACTATTCCATTTTTTGTTCAGACAGAGTGGGAGGGAGGGAGGGAGAGAGAGAGAGAAACATCTACGTGAAAGGGACACATCGAATGGCTGCCACCCACATGACCAATCCAGGGCCGGGGACAAACTACAACTGAGGTATGCACCCTTAGCAGGAACCGAACCCGGTCTCTCTGGACTGCAGGCTGATGATGCTCTAACCACTGAACCAAACTGGCCAGGGCTGGGGTCACATTTATCTTTGCATATAGATCATATCAAACTAGTTTCGTGGTCATTTTATGTTAAAATATTCATTTGTAAAGATTGATCAGTTATATTTCTTAATGCTTACTGGAATATAGTTTTTCATGAAAAAAACAAAGTATAGATCGTTCGTTATTTAATGCTTTGGCTTATGTGAAAGATGCCCTAAATATTAGTTGCTACACAAGTAGAAAGAATAAAGCCAACTAATAGAAAAGTGAATTTAAAAATGAGTGACTTCAGCCCAGCTGGTGTAGCTCAGTGGTTGAGCATCAACCCATGTACTAAGAGGTCGCTGGGTTCAATTCCCAGTCAGGGCATATGCCCAGGTTGTGGGTGAAATCCCCAGCGGGGGGCATGCGGGAGGCAGCCAATCGATGTTCTCTCTCATAGATGTTTCTATCTCTCCCTCTTCCATACTCTCTAAAATCAATAAAGAAAAAAAATAAAAATCAGTGACTTCAGCCCTGTCCGGTGTGGCTCTGTGGTTAGAGTGTCAGCTGGAGCACCAAAGGGTCATGAGTTCGATTCCCAGACAAGGGCTGGTACCGGGGTTGCTGATTCCATCCCCACCTCTGTGGGGGTATGTGTGGGATGCAACCAATCAACCTCTGTGGGGGTATGTGTGGGATGCAACCAATCAATGTGTCTCTCTCATATCAATGTTTCTCTTTCTCACTCTTCCCAGCCCCAGGCCTCTCTCCTTCCCTCTCTTCTACTCTGTAACAAATCAATGGAAAAAATATCCTCAAGTGAGGATTAACAAGCAAAAAAAAAAAAAGAAATCAGTGACTTCTGTAGCATCCCAGTTATCTCAAGGATTGTTAAAACTCTCTCAGAAATGGTCTGAAAAGATGTGTTATATCACTTTTTGTGACAAAGGCCTATATAATTAAACTTTTTATTGCTTAAATGATTGAGGTGGATGAATATCAGGCTTGAGGTGGATGAATACCAGGCAAGGGAGGGAGGTTGCTGAACTCGGAGATATTTGTAAACATGGAGTGAATCTAGATGCAAAGCAATTAATTGATCATAACTTAAGGTTTTGGGAATAACTTCCAGAATGAGGTAGCATTTTCACTGGGCCTTAAATTGTTGGCAGGAGAGAGTCAGCCCCATTTCAAGCAAAGCAAAATTGCTTGAGTAAAGGCCAGAAAACTCACAAATTAAGGAAAAGATAGTTTAATGCAACTAGATTTTAGTGAGAGATGGAACTGGAAAAAGAATGGTCTTAATCTGATATAACCTAGAAGCACAACCTCAAATAATAGGAGGAAAAGATTAAAATTATCCACTGTTAAAAAGAAATTTGCATTTTTTTTTTAAAAATCCTAACCCCAGGACATTTTTGCATTTATCTTCAGATAGAGTGGGAGGGAGAGAGGGAGGAAAAAGAGAGAAACATGGATCGAGTAGTCGCCACCCACATGACCCCAACCGGTGCTGGGGACAAACTGCAGCAGGAACTGACCCCAGGACTCTCTGGTCTGCAGGCCGACGCTCTAACCACTGAGAAAACCAGCCAGGGCATGCATTTTTCTTTTTAAAAATGCCTTTGTCTGTTATATGTGGCCTTCTTGGGAAGAAAATTACATCTCCTCCTTTATTTTTCTCCTGTGTATACCATGTTTAGATTCTTGGACTTCTAATCCTTCTTACCAGCTTCAAAATTGTATCTGTCCATTTGTTCTTTTTGCCATACAGGAGGCAGTTTGAGGTTTATCAAAGACCTTCTGTTCTCATGAGCCTTGTCCACATACTTGTTCTTTCTTGTTTCAAGTCTTTGCAATTACTTACAACCTTATATTGAATCTGGCATGTGTATACTTGGAGAATGTGTGTGTGTGTGTGTGTGTGTGCTTTCTTTATTGATTTGAGAGAGGAAGGGAAAGGGAGAGAAAGATAGAAACATTGATGAGAGAACATGCCTCCTGCATGCCCCCCACTGGGGATTTGGGCCACAAACTGGGCATATGCCCTGCCTGGGAATTGAACTGGCAACCTCTTGGTGCATGGATTGAAACTCAACTATTGAGCCACATCGGCTGGGCTTGGAGAATATATTTTTAAAGATGCAACAAAGACTTTATAAATTCACGGATCTAAAATAAGAACTTCATAGCATTCTTAAGAGAAAGCTTTGCTAAAATAACTGCATTGTTCCAGTGTTTAGGCTGAGTGTTAGGAATTTAGTTGTGTGTGGATCTACTTTGAATTCATGTCAGTTCCTGGGCTATACCATCACTTGTTATAACATTATTAATATTTTTTTTAAAATTTTGTTAATGCTCACCCAAGGATATTTTTTTTCCATTGATATTTAGAGGGAGAGAGAAACAGAAACATCGATGTGAGAGAGACACATCCATTGGTTGCCTCCTCCTGCATGCGCCCAGACCAGGGCTGGGGATCCAACCTGAGACCCTTCAATGCAAGGGCCGACGTTCTAACCATGGATCCACACTGGCCAGGGCAACATCATTAATATTTTTTACTCTCACAACTTTCTGGGGCAGCCATTTAACATTTATATTTAAGAACTAGGTTAAACATCTTGAAGACTTCCCGAGGTCATAGTCACACAGCTAGGAAGAAGCAAAATGCATAGTTAACACTTCCCCCTCCCTATTAAAACAAATACAGCTATAGTAAATTGTACATTAGAATAATGTGAGGGGGGGGGTGTGATAAAATTTTCTGGTTTTTAGAAGGCTTTATTATCTGGAAAGTGAGTATATATTCTACCACAGAAACAAAAAAAACTCGAAAACCACATCCTTCCAGATTGTATGTTGTCTCTAGGAGTGTACTTCAAGGTGGTTAGTGATTTGTGTGTTCTGGACTCGTTTTTTTGTTGTTGTTAATCCTTACCCAAGGATATTTTTTCCATTGATTTCTTGACTGGGAATCGAACCGGAGACCCTTGGGTATGCAGGCTGATGCTCTAACCACGGAGTCAAACTGGCCTGTGCTGGACTCCTTTTAATAGTGTTAAATTTGGTTTTTGATACCTCGACTCTGAATAGTAATCTGAATCTTACCAAATAGGATCAGAAAATCTTATATAATCAGTAAATTCTTTTCTAAGTCCTGTTTATGAATTCCAAGCAATAAATTTCAGGTCTTCCCCTGGTTATATGAACATACTGGTTTCTGCTTTCCTTTTACCTAAAGATACTAAGTCCCAAACAAGACAGGAGTTTCACTGTTAGAAGTCCTTGGGTGGTAAAAGACTCACCCCTGAACGCTAGTTTGTGAAATTGTACAACTTAAAGGAGATTAAAAAAATAGCTCCCTATTAGGTGAAGGATTTTTTTATTATTCTTGCAAGTTGAACTAGTTAATTTTACAGCAAACAGCTGATCTGGTCCATCTATTGTCACAGGAAACAATTATGCTATTCTACATACTGTTGAAATAGTGACAATAAGAGGGCACACTTTGGGGGTTATGGGAAGAGTGCTTTATTAGTATAATTTTTAAAATTTTTATGACATGGGGAAGAAGTTTGAAGAAATGACAAAATGAATGCTCGAGTGTGTTTCTTTTTTATTTAGAGCAAATTTTTCAGAACATAAAACAAGAATGTAGTCGTTATCAGAGGTGGAGACATTTAGAAGTTGTTCTTAATCAGAATGAAGCTTGTACTTCAGAAAGTCAGCCTCACTCCTCAGCACTCACAGCACCTAGTTCTCCAGGTAAGTATGCTTTAATTTGCACAGTCCATTGAAGAGTTTGTAAATGGTACTTAAAATGATGGTTTCCTAATTTAAAATTGATTTCATCTAAAGTAGTAAAATTAATAAAATATATGCATTATTACACTACTTATACTTTTAAAACCATAAAGTCATGAAATGGAAAAGACCTTACATTGATTTGATTGGACTTCCATCCAGCCAATGCAACAATACTTTCTATATCACTAGCCACTTGTGCCTGTTAAATTTGAATTAAGTTAATAAAATTTTAATATTTAGTTTCTCAGATGCAGTAGCCACATTTAAAGTGGTAGCCACATGTAGTTGTTGTAATAGCACAACTATAGGGCATTTCTATCATTGCAGAAAGTTATGTGACATTGCACTATAACATTGACAGGTGGTTAGGGAGGATGTGCTGAAATAGAATCTCAGGGTTGGAGTGAATCTTTCTGGTCACATAGTTCAGCTAACAGTCTTGCCTGTCATATCCCCACAAAAAGTCAACAGGCCGGAGCTTGAATATCTCCAGTGGTGCATTCTGTCCCCTTTAACAGTAGTTTACTTCCTCACAAAGTATTCTACTTCTTAATAGTTCTAAGAATTTAAAATTACCATGGTTAAAAATTGTCTTCTTGTAAAAAAAAAAATTGTCTCCTTATAGAGCACAAATTGGTGTTGGCCAGGAGATGGCGGGGGACTACTTAATGGGTAAGAGGTGTTACTTTGGAGTAGTAGAAATGTTTTGAAACTAGATAGAGGTGTTGGTTGTACAACATTGTGACTATACTAAATGCCACTGAATTCTTCACTTTATGTCAATTTCACCTCAAATAATTTTTTTAATTGTCTTCTTATGACCCAAAGATTTTGGTTCTGAAACAACACCTATTCTAATTGTTCTTGCACATACTTAAGTGATAGACCTTTCAGTGGTTATAACTAACAAGCCTCAATTTTCTCTCCAGATTTTAGTAATAAATTTTGAAGTAATAGAATATGTTATGGGCAAAGAAACAATTACAAATAAAAACTGGCTAGATGTATTGGTCAAGTTTTTTCATTTGTAGAGAATACATTTTTTATTTAAGCCAAAAAAAATTATTTGTGTCAGGCTGTTCAATAGTTTCTAGACTAAGAGGGCCAAAGAAACAAATTCCAGACTAAGCTTTGAAAAACAACTCAGAACTGGACTACCAATGGAGTTACTGCTTTTATCATAATCAGGAAGTCAATTTCTATGTTTTCTGGCTTTCCAGTGGATATTTTGGTCCCTAACTACTAACATTTCACTCTTCTTGGCCTGGATTCAAAAGGGATCAAGGATGAGATGTATAGTGGCTAATTGTCTCCTTTCATACTTCAGTGACTTTGCTAACAATTTTTTCCCCCATCACCATTTATTCCTTTTTTTCCCTCTTCCACCTCTACCCTCCACCATCACCACATTATTGTCCATGTCCATGAGTTCTTGCCTAACAATTTTTTATATTGGGCACGTCACTTATTCTCCTAAATGTCAAATTTCTGATCAGAACTAAATTAGAGAGTGTGTGTGTGTGTGTGTGTGTGTAATTTTGTGGTGGTTTCTGTTAATTCCATAGATAATTGTGGTGGTACCACCTTGGTTAAACATAGGTCTAGGTGATCTCTTAGGATCTAGGTAGCTCTCATGTTATGAATCTACTTTTCCTAATTCAGACTAGAGGCTTTATATCAGCTTTAAACTTTTTGTTCTTGTCTGTTACCAAATGAGCATTGAGTATGGGCTCTGATTGTTGTGGCATCAGACATTTTTTTTTGTATGCAGACCAGCTATCATACCTGGATATGTGTTGTTCCTCCTACTTCTCAATTTACCTTCGTCCTTGCTTTGTAAAACAAATGTGAGAAACTCAAGAGAATTTTGTGGAAATATTCCATGCAAATTAGTGAAAAATACCATTTTTATAAACGATTTTTATATCCTAGGACTGCATGAAGTTGTTAATTCTGAGCCTTAGAACTAGAATTTATTATGTAAACTAGATTTGTCTTTTGGCCAGGTTCCTCCTGGATGAAGAAAGACCAACCCACCTTTACTCTCCGACAAGTTGGAATAATATGTGAGCGTCTTTTAAAAGACTATGAAGATAAAATTCGGGAGGAGTATGAGCAAATCCTCAATACCAAACTAGCAGGTAGGCTGAGGTATAGTGGCTATGTCATTGTTAATAAGGTTCAGTAAGGATTAACCCCAATTAAGTAAATGGTAATTTAGGAGTAGGACATCATGCAAGGAGGCTTAAGGAGTTGTGAGTATTAAGTTATTCCCTTTGGTGATTTTAAATGTTCCATTTATATATTGTACGGAAGGACTTTTCATTTACCTTTCTGAAACAGGATAAACCAAGCTTTTCTTGAACAAAGGCATTGAGTAGGTGTTTGGGCTAGTTGGCCTGTAAACAGGTGGTTGGGATAGTGCTAACCATCAATAGGTGATTGGGAGGTGTAGATAGAGCATAGTCAACACAATCAGACTTCCTGGTGGGAGTCACTTAGTGGATGTGGGAAGTCAGGCATCCTGTGATTTGGAGGTACATTAGAGTAAAGTTTGGAAAGCACAGCTTAGGCAAGAACAAAGGGAGTGACTAATGGTGGCAACAAGTAACCCTTTTGTGAAATGAAGGGATCTGACTCAGGAATAGAAAGTACCTGTTTAGTGAAGGAGGAGGATTTGATGAGAGAGGTTTTAGGCAACAACTTCTTGCTGTAACAGTGTTGTTTCCTAATTCGGTGACCCTTAGCATGTGGTGCCTCAGAATGTTAATAGATCTGCTTTAAATTGAGAATTGTTGAGTTAGCAACAAAATTAAATGAATTTCTTCATAGTAGAAATTCTTTAATATACTAATAATGTATATTATAAGGAAAAACTTGAGTATATCATTTCCCTCTACTACCACCACCCCAAAATTGTTCAGACCAGGTGGCTCTAAGGTACTTATGTGGAACAGTTTATAATTAGGGAGTGTGGGATTTTCTCTTAGCTTTTTAGCCATTCTATCTTTTTGAGTCTGTATGAATGTTGAAATGTATAGCAAGGATAGAGAGGAGCAAAGGGCTTCAAGCTTCTTGTTCTGGAGGAGATAATCCTAAAATTTGCTAGTGGTAGTGAGCATGTCTGTCTGTTTTAGGAAGCCAATAGAGTTACAGCACAAGCAAGATTATTAGGAAAATGTTATGTTATAGATGATCAGTGATCGAATCTAGGAGCTAGGGATTTTGGCTTTGGCGTCCAAGAAGTAACAAATCTCAGAGTGACTGTTATAGGGAGGGCCTAAGAATGGATAATTTAAACTGGGAAGCTAGATATGATCCTGACACTTGATTCCTGAAAAACTGGGGGAGAGTTTCGGGGATAAGTATATATATACTGTCTTTCCCCTCACAGAACAATATGAATCTTTTGTGAAATTCACACATGATCAGATTATGCGACGATATGGGACAAGGCCCACAAGCTGTAAGTATTGGCAATTTTTCTTTCACTTTCCCAACTTCCAAGAGCAAAATTTTGAATCTGAGTACCTGTCTCCCAAGAGCAAAAAGCCCTTGTGAAGTAAAATAGTAGCTAGCATTTAAAGAATACTTAGATGTCTAGCATTATGCTAAGCAGTTTGACCTTCAAAATTTATTTTCATCCACAAGAACCCTATGAGGGAAGAACTGTTGTTAGCCCCATTATACAGGTAAGGATAGCACTTAAAGAAGTTAATTATTTGTCCAAGCTCATGTAGCTAGTGGTTTAGCCAGGATTGAAACCTAGGTTGTCTAACTCCTGTGCCAATGTGTTTATTACCTGGCTTTTCCTCCAGAAAGGTAGTTTCAGTGATTAATTTATGAAAGTTGATTTCTTAGGCTAACTTGTTAAGAGTGGTCAGAATTTCTTAATTCTAAACATCTTGCAACTACCAGTAACTCAAAACATAAATTATAATAACTATATATTTACTGAACCTGACTCAGGTTTCTTAAACTCTTGAGAATTTAGGACTTTTAGTGGTGACTCGTCCTCCATGCAGTCTATCACATTTACCATTAGTTGTTATTTAAAAAGCACAACACTATATTTTTTAGTATTTTTACAGGCTTTTGTTTTTTATTCCTAATTTATAGATGTGTCCTGAAGCTTTCTTGCATATCTGGGTACCAGGTTCGACCTCAAGAGATGGCTGCTGTGCACTTTTTGCAACTGGTTTGATATCACATTTCAGCTCCAACTTTGCATCCTGAGAACACTTAAAAGGTTTCTGCAGGTTCATTTTATACAACTTGAAAGACCTTAAAACTTTCTGGTTGCCACAAGCATATCTTTCTTTTCTGCTCATCCAATAAACAGCTGTGCCCTACTGTGATAGATTTTCCAAACAAAATACGTGGAGCAGCAGTTTAGCAAAATATGCCCTCAATGGCACTCAACAAATGGAGTTTCCCCAAGCACAGTTCTGTAAGAAGTGTGTGTGAGAGTGTGTGAATATGTGTGTATGTGTATTTTAAGTTATTATTTGTATTGTGCAAATTTTTTTTTGATCTTGGGGATTCTGGCTGTGAATTTGATGCACGACAATTACGGTTAAAAACATTTGCTTGATCTACAGAAGATCATTAATGTTTTGTGACCATATAAGTTGTAACAGTGGGTTGTTTTATGTGTAGGTATTGTTAAATACAGGGACTGTTTTCAGGCACAGAATATGAATCATACGTTAGGATGGACATTAGATGTGATAATGACGACATAGCAAGGGTCTGTGGTCCTGGGTCTATACATGCACGGTGAGGAATTAGAACGAACTGGAGATGGGCCATTTGACATATGGACTCTACCTAGCCGTGCTGGAAAGATACTTTGACTCCAAGCCTTAAAATACTCACGTGGAGTCTGTGCTCACCTCACTCACACAGAGAGCTCCCTGGACACTGAACCTCTAAAAAGAAAAACTCTCCCCTAGAGCAGGAGCATCAGGGTTTACTTGGGAGCATAGAACAGGTGAGCACGGGCTGGGCAAGGGCCAGGCCCCGGCTACACTGCTACTTGGGAGGAGCCACTTCACCTTTGTATTAGTTATTACAAATAAATTTGGATCCTTGTTCAGGTTCTCCCAAATTCTTTTAAGAGGTGTTCATGTTCAACTGCTTGAGCTTTGTTTTGGCATCCCTCTGCCCGAAATTGCTTTCAGACTGTTGTTCACCTTGTTTTCAAGGCTGAAGAACAGAAAGTAGCCTCTGTTTTGAGGAGGTGGAAGTTAAGTATACATTTATTTTTTACTGTGACTTGTTCAGGACCACATTTTACAAAATGCCTTGTTTCATTATTGTTTCTGGAAAGGAAAGTTCTATTAAAATTGTTTTAGTTTGAATATAGAATAGTTTTTTTAATTACAGTTTATTTTGAAAAATTCTGAGTGTAATTAAAATGTATGCCAATACCTTCCAAAGTAAGGTAATATTCAGAGACAGTTCTGATCCAGATGGCTTAGAGAAATTTCTGGAATATTCACATTGGAAGATTCCTTATTAATGAATGTCTTTGACTTAAATCTAACCAAAAACTGCAACATTATTCTTTGTACATTTTCATTATATAGTGTTAACAAGCTTAGTTGCAAACAAATAAAATACTTAAGCTATTTGTTTACCTTGCCTTCTTAATACTGTGATGATGTTTATTAATTAAAATAATTTATGTGAGGCTGCTAAAACCATTTCCCCAGTTCAACGGTACATTTAAGAATTATAGATTTTTTAGTATATGTGCTGCCGAAGCGAGCATAAGAATTAACAGACTTTTTAAAAAAGCCCAACAGTGATCCTTTGATAATTAAATAATTATTTTACTGCATATTTGAAGGGCAATTTGTTTCTTCCTTTTCCAGGGTAGTCACTTGTTCCTGGAAGAGGAACATAGCAGTAATGGGGTGGCCTTACAGTGGGATAGCCACGCCAAAACACGGGAAGGGCAGCTGTGGGGGCCATCAGAGTCCTGAAGGATGACCAGGAATAGGGAATACTGCCTCACTGAAGTCTTTTGTTACAGAATCGGTGTGATGTGCCCACTCAGTATTCCAAGTGTCAGCCCCATTCCTACTAAGTAGCTTTTGGCTAGCAAGCAGATAAGTTTCTAAAAGGAAAGTGACCGGCTGTTGTATTATGATACAGTTGCTTTCGGGGGCCACATGATAAGACCACACCACTGTGGCTGGGTTTTGGGATCTCTTCTAAAGGGACTAGATGTGTTTGTTTATTTTATCCAGAGAAAAGATGAATCCTGGGACAAGAAATGGAGACCTGTAAGGTAGGTCTTAGACTAACAAAAAGAGTTTTCACCTAGACCTTGATTTCTAAAGCTTGAACTTAGGGGCATTCCCAGGTAGGGAAGTATCTTTGTCCTGTGAGGATAGGTCAAGGCCAAGGAAAGAAGAAAACCTACAGACACCTATAAGAATGGGCCAGGACCTGTGGTCTTAGAACAGCCATATCTAGTAAGTTAAAGTATTTTGTGGTTCTTTTTTGTGTGTTTTTTTTTTTATCCTCACCCGAGGACATTTTTCCATTTTTGTTTTTTTAGATAGAGTGGGAGGGAGAGAGAGGAAGAGAGACAGAGAGAAACATCGACTTGAAAGCAGCACATCAAGTGGCCACCTCCCGCACAACCCCAACTGGGGCCAGGGACAAACTGCAACCAAGGCACGTGCCCTTAACGGGAACCAAACCCGGGTCTCTCTCTGGACCGCAGGCTGACCCTCTAACCTCTGAGCAAAACCAGCCAGGGCAAGATTTTTGTGTTTTAATTTTATTATCCTCTTTAAGTAAAGTCTTAAGCTTAAGGACAATGAAAGGAGTAAGTGTCCCTGCCTAGGTTAGGAGTAGAGAAGAGATCAAAGTTCTGAGGCAGTGATAATTGTTAAGAGTTCCCCAAGGAGAAGAACATCAGTGGACATAAGAATTTGGGCCAGTTTCCACACACGGTGAGAATCTGCCCACCAGGAAGGATTGGGTAGTCTAGTATTATAGTTAGAGGAATGGCCTTTGGATATTTGTAGCCCTAGAGTTTAGTTTGCTCTGCCACTAATTTACTATGTAAGCCTTGCCAAATTACTGAACTTTATGAGCCTTGGTTTTCTTATTTGTAAAACAAGGGTTAATTGTGTGTACATCATTGGGTTTTGTTTTCAAATGCAAGGTTAATCCATGTCAAGAAAGTATTTAAGCACAGCTTGGGACATAGAATATGCACTTGAAAATGTTACAGGAAGTTTCTTTACAGTGGTCTTCATCAGCTCTGAATACCTAAATCTTCCTTTCTGCAGCAGTGATTACAACTTTCCAGTATGAAGAGCCCTTTGTTAACATCAAAATCTCACATTCTCTTATTAGAATTTGTACTTTTTAAGTGTTTGGCTAAGAAAACAATAAAAGATGAATGACGAATCCAGTGATGCCTTTCAGTGTATCTATTTTATTCACTAAATCAGGGGTCAGCAAACTATGGCCTGTTTTTGTAAATAAAGTTTTATTTGAACTCTGCCACACCTATTCATTTGCATCTAGCTGCTTTCACACTGCAACTCCAGAGACTGAGACATTATGGGCCACAGAGTTGAAAACTTACACTCTGGCCCTTTGCAGGAAGGTTTGTGAGCCCTGCACTGTGGCATTGATATGCATTTGATAAGCTCACAAGGCAGACACTGCATCATGGATTGGTGGACACATGCCCTAATTTATCATTCCTAGGGGAGGTTGAGGTCTGATGAAAAAATCTGCTTACAAATGAAAACTGATTGCCAAAATGAGTTATAGAAAAAGCTTATGAACTTTTCAGAGAAATGATTTTCAAGGATGGGGACAGGGATTATACAGTTGGGTGGGGGCTTGGGGAAGGCTTAGAATGACTCATCTTTGGCTTCTTTTTTTTTTTTTTTTTTTTATCCTCACCCGAGGACATTTTTCCATCTTTTGTTCAGGTAGAGTGGGAGGGAGAGAGAGGAACATTGACGTGAAAGGGACACATCATGTGGCTGCCACCCGCACAACCGACCAGGGCCGGGGACAAACTGCAACCGAGGTACGCGCCCTTAGCGGGAACCGAACCCAGGTCTCTCGGGACCGCAGGCCGACGCTCTAACCGCTGAGCCAAACCGGCCAGGGCATCTTTGGCATATTTAATTTTGAAGTTTTAGATACAAATGTGGGTTATGATAATTTCATGTTTATCAGAACAAAACTTGGGTTTAAGGATAGTTTATTAAATATTGTTCTTAGGAACAGTGATTTCTTTGTTGCTGTGGTGAGTCCTTGAAAACAGCTTCAGAGAGTGCTACACTTTTCTATATCTACGGTTAAACTGGATCTTGGATGAGGTTGACACCTTCAGGAAGAAAGGAAAAGTTTACCTATGGAAAGAGCTCCAGCTACCCACCCCAAATCACACTTTCAAATAAATATTTAGCACTTCATTGGAGGGAGGGTGTGCTAACTTGGTCTAAAATTTCTATACCTGAAGTCCTCATGGGTCTTGTTTTTACTGATTGTTGTTTATAGTGCCTTGTCTCTTTTATTTATTTATTTATTTTTAGAGGAGGGAGAACAAAACATTGTTGTGAGAGAGAAACATTAATTGGCTGTCTCCTGCCCTACTGGGGATTGAGCCTGCAACCCAGGCATATGCCCTGACTGGGAATCGAACTGGGACCTCTCAGTCCATTGGGATGATGCTCAATCCACTGAGCCACACCAGCTGGCTGGACATGCCTTATCTCTTTTTATGCCAGGTTATCTGTGAGCTGGATAGTGTATTTGAAAACTTATTTGTAGAAATAAACAGAACAAGGATGAGTCATCTACCTCTAGGAATTTCTTGTTGCCTGTGCCTGGGAATATTCCCAAACCTTAATTTAGATTGAAGGATGGAGGTTCCCTGGATCATCCAGATGGTATACAACCACATATCGAGTCCATGTGAAGACAGTTTACTTTTGTGTCACCCATATCTTGAAGTGTAATACTTTGGAATCCCAGCTTAGGTGTCTATGGTGGGAGTTCCCACCTTTAGCTGGCCTTAGGTTTAACTTTTGTCCCCTTTGGTCCATGAGGCCTCTGAAAGTGCTGCTTAGACTTCTTCCAGATTGTGAAAGGCCTTAAAAAGCAAAGAGCAGCTTTGAGTTCTGTGCTTCCTGGGTTCTCATCTGGATTTTGATTCAGTAATGCCTCATTACCTAATTAGCCTTTTTATGCTTCTAAGAAAATGGTATCTCAACTGCTTATTAGCAGTTGATCAAAATTTCCTCATGCTCGATTTTTAGATAGGAAATTTTCTATGTACTTTTTGCTTATCAGAGCTTTGGTCCATGAAAGCTATTAACCTAGTTCGATACCCAATATACCTTCATATTAATGGGAGAAAAGTTTGGAAAGACATGAAAATACTGGCTTTGAGTGTTTTTCATTCGTTCAGCAAGCATCACTGGTGTTTTCTGAATTATTTAATTGTGGGAGGACAGGTATTTGAGTTTTAAAAGCCTGATATGTTCTGTTAAGTAACCCTATTATGTGTCTTATATCCTAGTACCTGACTTGGGATTAATATAAATATTTAGTCAGTTGGATTTTGACCCCTGAGAAGTGAGTACAGTCTAGCAAGGTATATAAGCAGACAAGATCAAAGTTGCTAAGTGTTGCCCACCCTGTGTAGCTCAGTGGATTGAGTGTCATCCTGTGGACAGAGGTCCCAGTTCGATTACCTGTCAGGGCATATGCCCTGGGTTGCAAGCTCGATCCCCTGTAGGGGGGCGTGCAGGAGGCAGCAATCAATGTATCTCTCTCACATTGATATTTATTTCTCTCTCTAAAAAAGAAAACATTAGAAAAGATACCTATTTTTAAGTTGCTAAGTGTTGCATGAATGATATAGGTGGTGGACCAAGAAAAATAGATGGTTCTAAGTAGGCTTCATTTGGGGAGGTGGAGTTGGAATAAGGTTTCAAAGGATGAATAGGTCTCAGGAAAAAGTAGGGATTGGGATTTGAAATTATCAAAGGGTAGGTGGTGGGAAATCATGGTGAAGGTACAGCATTCTTGTTTAGTCAGAGTAGAATACTCATGTGGATGTTGGGAAGAGGGCTTGAAGCTAGGTTATAGGGGCTAGGTAATGGAGGGCATTGACTACTAGGAGTTTGGCTCTTATTCTGTGGGGATCTGAAGAGTTTTGGGGAAACTAATTTCAGGGTAAGTACAGGACAGAAGGGCAAATAAATACCAAACTGGAGACAAGTTGACCCCGTTACGAGCCTCTTTGTCCAGTCAGAGATAACGAAGGACTGTACATTCCTTGGGAAGGATGATTAAATATGGCTCAGGCTTTGTCTGTCTAAGAAGAGCATGGCCCTTGAATCTTTCTAGTCTTACTGTCCCTCTTCTCATAGGCACACTTTCAAAGATCCCTTTCCTCTTGGCTTGTCTTTGCCTCTGAATTAATCCAGCTCAATTCTACAGCTGCTGCTGCTGCTATAGATTCTCTTAAATCCATCTTTTTTTTTAAATCCTCACCTGAGGATATTTTTTTATCTTCAGATAGAGTGGAGGAAAGAGAGAGAGAGACATCGATTGGCTGCATCCCACACAACCCCAACCAGCGCC